ATTGTTCGCCTAATTCTCAGGTTCTGAATTCCCCCACACAGCAATTTATAGACACAATGTCCTTCCTGAAGAGAAGTTCCTGAAACATTACAATCCTTTCAAGAGCAATACAGTCGGGGGGGGGGGAGGGCGCGGCAGGCGCAAACCTTTACATTGTGCCCCCCCCCACCCCCAGCAGGCACCAGTCATCTGTCAGAAGCCCCTAGCCCTCCCCAACCCCCGGTGGGCAAAGAAGCGGGGGAAAGGGGGGCAGCATCACACAAGCCACAGTTTGGCCACCCCTGCTCTACACTCTTCAGCTACAGTTAGGCCCATGAGAGGATCTGCGATTGGGACAAGAATAATCACCCCTGCTATTTGAAAAGGGAAGCAGAGAGGACTAGGGACATCTTAAACCATAAGCAGCAGAGCTGAGACTGAGTGAAGCTTTTTCATGGGAGAAGTCCCGCACACCTATCAATGCGCGAACAGCAGTTATCCACATGAACAGTGCCTGGCCCTAGGACCTTTACTTGAAGGAAAACAGGAGATAATATGAGGGCGACTTGTTTAGGTCATATTGCTACCTACTTAAAAACTTGACTTGTACGAGATGTGCCTTTCCAGCGGCGGTAAGGAGTGGCTGGGATTTGTCTCAGCCTGCATCCATGGTAGAAGTTGTACTCATTTTTCCAGCACTAGTTCAGGTGCATAGTATTACCAGTCTATATTCACTAGATCTATTAGGGACGCTTATTTTCAAGATGATAATGTTCTACAGGTAGAAGGGGCTAATCTTGATTAACTTTTTATGAAACCCTGCTTATGGTACTGATGCTTATGCTTAAATTATCTGAAGTGTATTGAAATTTCTGTTTTTGTTTTCTGAAGTTAAATTTTGTAAATCTGCAAAGGTTAAAGTTCAGTCTGGAACTATTTACTGGTCTATACAACTGCCCATGATATCACTGCCATATTGTTGCAGTGTTGCACTCATGGGTATTATGTAACCATGAAAGACACTAAGGAGTTGCAATGAAAGTTGAATGAATAAGAAACACAACAGAAAACTGAAGACCCTCTAAATAACTGAAGGCTACAGCAGAGCAGAGAGCTCTGTTTAGTTAAACCACAGGGCACCCTGAAGCTCATTATTCTAGGCACTGAAAGTTTTAGTACAGTGTAGCTAGTCCATGCAAAGATGAAATCCCAGCGTGGAAGCTGTGTGTTCGTTTTACTCTCCCCCACCTCATCTCCTTTTCCAAGGTACATGACTCATTGTAGACGGTGAACAATACGATCAGTCAGCGTACTGACTACATATTCCATGCATAACATCCCTCATCTGGTCAGAATTGTACCATTAGAGATAGAGATGAATAAAGATGAAGAGATCAAAGGTTAAACACATAGTTTAGAGAGTTAACATGTAATTGCTTTATGGCCAAAAAGTGATGACTTCTCTGCAGCCCATGTTCAGGAAGTGTTGTACAAGAGATTTTTGGAGAAAGTAAAATTAATTTTCCTCCTCAGCACTGCAGCAGAGTTACAGTTGTCTCTGCCAAGCCAAAACGTACGTAAGAGGAAAGCTCACTGAATTAGCCGCTCAGCACTCAAAATAACTGACAACGGGGCACCAAGAAATAAGAGTCAGAACTCTACAATTCGAGCTTACTTTTAATAGAAGGAAAAGTAGGTGTGCATAATGTTTTGGGATGCAATAACTTGATTGTTCGCCTAATTCTCAGGTTCTGAATTCCCCCACACAGCAATTTATAGACACAATGTCCTTCCTGAAGAGAAGTTCCTGAAACATTACAATCCTTTCAAGAGCAATACAACGCCAATAGCCTTAGAGTGGTCCTACGTTCTCACAGAAGATGAAAAAAAATAAAGCAAAGGTGTTACAAACATTAGATACCTGGTTTTGAAATACTTCCAGCTGTACTGGTGAAACAACGTCAATGAAACAGGAAGTACAGTGGAATCTGACTTGTTAATAAATAATATTTCACTATGATGGAGAGAAGTGAAGTTTACATTTTTTTTTTTTTTGCTGACCAAAAAGTGCTCAATTCACAAAAAGGGATACATCAAAACCAAACATGCAACGGTTGTTTTTAAAACCTTTACTGCAACGTAACATTGAAGTAAACAGTAAGTAGATATCTCATTTTTCGCCGGAAAAGAAAAGACGTAAACAGGAAAATAAGTTTGCCTGTATGTGTACAGCTTCTCAGATCATGTTAGAAGGGAGTCTAATTCAATGATCAACAAATTTTAACATAACAGTAATGAGTTTTCATTTGAAGGCATTTTTTCTTAAATCCAGCATTTAACATGAAATCATGGGCTTCTTGCACTAAATTTAATACATCTGAAGCAGCAAAATAACCCCCTATATTTTGGCATGTATGTTTACAGTTGCTCAATTCTTTTAGATTTCACAAAGCCATTATCCAGTGTTGCCATGAAATACAGATTGTAGATTCTAGGTAGCAAAAGCTATTTTCCAATACCAATGTCAAGTAAAAAGAAACATGAAGCAGGGCATTACACTAAGTTTCTGGAACTAGTACAGTAAAAGTGAAAACCTAGAAAAAAGTTAACCTACAGTTTATAGAAGGAACTAAATACCTGCAGAAGCTGATTTTTGGTTGTATAGTATTTTACACTGTGTGATTTGCTGCATCTGCCAATTTAAAGCAGACATGCTTCATTTATCCTTGCTTTGTTTCCTATGTTTTCTTCTCCCTCCCCCCATACCATACACCAAGTATTGTGGATATGAGCCCAAATACCCCCAAACAATCCAGTGAACAAAGTTAGTGTAATGCACTGGTGTGAAGCGTGAGATAAAAAAGTCTCTCCCTTTCAATCTTCATCAAAGTTCTGTTGTAGAAGAAAGTTGGCAGCCAAGTTTTCATTCTTCTCACAAGCAAAATATGCTTGTATCACAAGTCCTTCAGGAAATCCTAATGCCTTTAACTAAAGAAGAGAGATGCATTTAGAAACCACTACGTTTAAGTAGATTAAAACTCCTTGAATGTTTTCTATATTAGGATTTCACCATTTAAGTCATTTGTTCAAATAAACGTTGTGACCAGTTAGGCTTCTCTTCCCATTCCTTATTTACTAGAGATTTTGAATTGAATTGAATTAAGTTCTCATTTAAAAAGTGGTTATGTCAGTCTGACTGAGTACATTAAGTCACATCACTATGCATTCACTGCTGTAATAAGTTATAAAACAGGCCCCAGGAAATAGCAGCTGAATGCTGCACTGCTGTAGCTAAAATTCATTCAACACAAAGCACATTTGAAATATGAATAGTAGGATAGTTCAGTGCCTTTAGCAACAAGTACAGATTGTAGCAAAGAGGGTCTAGAATGCAAGGACACTGGGGAACCTGACTATCGCAAAAAGAGTGTTTGATTTTAACTGAGCGAGCAGTCAAATGCAATTGCTGCTGTGAAGACCATTAACCTTTGATTAATTGATTAGGTTTGGATAGATAAGAGTGAGTGCTGGATTTATCCACTTTACACTTCTGTTTATGTCTTCATTTTAGCTAGCTATAAAAGTCAGTCAAGTTAAGGAATTTGTGTTTTCCGTCACAAAATTTTCTGCACATATTCTAAATTAATACCAGACCAGCACTTAGTCTGAGACACTGGGTGCTCTTAACCAGGGGAGGATATCAATCCCTAATTAAAGCTAACAGGAGTATTTATGGCACCTTAGAGACGAACACATTTATTTGAGCATAAGCTTTCGTGGGCTATAGCCCACTTCTTCGGATGCAACTGCAACTGTAGCCCATGAAAGCTTATGCTCAAATAAATGTGTTCGTCTCTAAGGTGCCACAAGTCCTCCTGTTCTTTTTGCAGATATAGACTAACAGGGCTGCTACTCTGAAACCTGTAATTAAATCTAGAGACTTATCATAGTGTACCTCCATGGAGCACATGTCAGTGGTAACACCACTGAAGGCATTTGAGCTCTCGAGTGTGCTAAGCATCTGACAGGGAAAAATGTTAGCTTCAAAACCCCATAAAGAGTGTATTTTAGAGTTAATCCTTTACTGCATAAAAATGAATTTAAAAAGAGAAAACAGTAGGTTGAGGCAACACTAGATGAAGAATCATACTATGCAGGGTGCATGAGGAAAATAAGCTATTTTAGTGAATACCAATTTTCCTTTACCAACCCTGTCTGACCAACCCCATCTTTTTTATGGTTATTCCAAAAGTTGCTGCAGAATCAGGGAGCGCCATTGGAAGAATTCAAAATTTCAATGAAATATACAAGAGTTTCCACAATTTTTTGGATAATTATTAGGGCTGTCAATCGCAGTTAATTCACGCGATTAACTCAAAAAAATTAATCGCGATTAATCGGACTTAAACAATAGAATACCAATTGAAATTCATTAATTATTTTTGGATTTTTTCATTTTCAAATATATCAATTTCAATTACAATGCAGAACACAAAGTGTACAGTGATCACTTTATCTTATTTTTATATTTGCACTGTAAAAATGATAAACAAAAGAAATAGTATTTTTCAACTCACCTCATACCTGTAGTGCAATCTCTGTCATGAAAGTGTAACTTACAAATGTAGGGTTTTTTGTTACATAACTGCACTCAAACAAAACCACGGAAAACTTTAGAGCCTACAAGTCCACTCAGTCCTACTTCTTGTTCAGCCAACTGGTCAGAGAAACAAGTTTGTTTACATTTGAAGAAGATAATGCTGCCCACTTCTTAATTACAATGTCACCTGAAAGTGAGAACAGGTGTTCGCATGGCACTTTTGTAGCCAGCGTTGCAAGTTATTTGCGTGCCAGATATTCTAAACATTCGTATGCTCCCTCATGCTTCAGCCATCATTCCAGAGGACATGCTTCCATGCTGATGACACTCATTAAAAAAATAATGTGTTAATTACATGTGTGTCTGAACTTCTTGGGGGAGAATTGTATGTCTCCTGCTCTGTTTTACCCACATTCTGCCCTATATTTCATGTTATAGTAGTCTCGAATGATGACCCAGCACGTTGGTCATTTTAAGAACACTTTCACTGCAAATTTGACCGAATGCAAAGATACCAATATGAAATTTCTAAAGAGAGCTACAGCACTCGACCTAAAATTTAAGAATCTGAAGTGTCTTCAAAAATCTGAGAGGGACAAGGCGTGGAGCAGATTTCAGAAGTCTTAAAAGAGCACCACACTGATGCAGAAACTTCAGAACCCAAACCACCAAAAGAGAAAATTAACCTTCTGCTGGTGGCATCTGACTCAGATGATAAAAGTGAACATGCGGCAGTCCGCACTGCTTTGGATTGTTATCGAGTAGAACCCGTTAGCAGCATGGATGCATGTCCTCTGGAATAGAGGTTGAAGCATCAAGGGACATATGAATCTTTAGCACATCTGGCATGTAAATATCTTATGACGTTGACTACAACAGTGCCATGCGAACGCCTAGTCTCACTTTCAAGGGACATTGTAAACAAGAAGCAGACAGCATTATCTTCTGCAAACATAAACAAACTTGTTTGAGCATTTGGCTGAACAAGGACTTGTAGGCTCAAGTTTTACATTGTTTCATTTTTGAATGCAGGTTTTTATTGTACATAATTATTGTACAATAATAGAATTATGTATTATTGGACTATAAGGTGGATAGAAAGCTGGCTAGATCATCAGGCTCAATGGGTAGTGATCAATGGCTCCATGTCTAGTTGGCAGCCAGTATCAAGTGGAGTGCCCAGAGGGTTGGTCCTGGGGCCGGTTTTGTTCAATATCTTCATTAATGATCTGGAGAATGGCGTGGACTGCTCCCTCAGCAAGTTTGTAGAGGACACTAAACTAGGAGGAGTGGTAGATACGATGGAGTGTAGGGGTAGGATACAGAGGGACCTAGACAAATTAGAGGATTGGGCCAAAAGAAATCTGATGAGGTTCAACAAGGACAAGTACAGAGTCCTGCACTTTGGATGGAAGAATCCCATGCTACAGACTAGGGACCGAGTGGATAGGCAGCAGTTCTGCAGAAATGGACCTAGTGGTTACAGTGGACGAGAAGCTGGATAGTCGACAGCGTGCCCTTGTTGCCAAGAAGGTTAACAGCATTTTGGGCTGTGTAAGTGCGGGCATTGCCTGCAGATTGAGGGACGTGATCATTCCCCTCTAGTCGACATTGGTGAGGCATCATCTTGAGTACTGTGTCCAGTTTTGGGCCCCACACTACAAGAAGGATGTGGAAAAATTGGAAAGAGTCCAGCGGAGGGCAACAAAAACGATTAGGGGGCTGGAGCACATGACTTATGAGAAGAGGCCGAGGGAACTGGGATTGTTTAGTCTGCAGAAGAGAAGAATGAGGGGGGGGATTTGATAGCTGCTTTCAACTACCTCAAAGGGGGATCCAAAGCGGATGGATCTAGACTTTTCACAGTGATACCAGATGACAGAACAAGGAGTAACGGTCTCAAGTTGCAGCAGGGGAGGTTTAGGTTGGCTATTAGGAAAAACTTTTTCACTAGGAGGGTGGTAAAGCACTGGAATGGGTTACCTAGGGAGGTGGTGGAATCTCCTTCCTTAGAAGTTTTTAAGGTCAGGCTTGACGAAGCCCTGGCTGGGATGATTTAGTTGGGGATTGGTCCTGCTTTGAGCAGGGGGTTGGACTAGATGACCTCCTGAGGTCCCTTCCAACCCTGATATTCTATGATTCTATGATGATTTGTAAGTTCAACTTTCATGATAAAGAGACTGCACTATAGTACTTGTAGTAGGTGAATTGAAAAATACTATTTCTTTTGTTTTTTTATGGTGCAAATATTTGTAGTCAAAAATATAAATTGAACACTGTACACTTTGTATTCTGTGCTGTAACTGAAATCAGTATATTTGAAAATGTAGAAAAAACATCCAAAATATTTAAATAAATGATATCTATTAATTTTTTTAATCGCGCAATTAATTTTTTTAATCGCTTGACAGCCCTAGGAATTATTCCTTTACAACTATTTATAGAAAAAACTGCGTTTTAAAAGAACTGCATGGAAGCACCCCCTTGACATACAAATCCAGATTTAGATACTTAACTATTTCCTTAGTGCTGATAGGTAGAGGTAAAAATTGTTGTGCATTTTACACTTTAATGCTCCAATCTAGTAACTACTGCAAAATTCCACAGCTACGCCTCTAGTTAGCAAAATAATGCAACCGCAGTCTATTCTACAAATGTTAGTCACAACAGTTAAAGTTTCATTTTGTTCCAAATTACTGCATGTGTATATAGGTCACCTTTACTGAGCAGCAAGTGGAATTTAATGCATTCACTGCATTAGGTTTCCAGGGCTTGCAGATCTGTAAGTTTATTTAGATGTTTACTAGTATTTTTAGCAACCTACACAGGAAAACTCAGTCAAATAACTGGGTTAAGCAGTGACTTTCGTCTACTTCCTATGAAAATTAAGAGCCAGTCTGAATACTTTAGGAATCAATTTTACGGAACAAAAGAGCACTCGCCCTGCACATTACCAAAGCCACTATTACACTTCCGGCATTGGTATCTGAAGCTTTCGCAAAAAAGAATGGCTACTCACCTTCTCGTAACTGTTGTTCTTTGAGGTGTGTTGCTCATATACATTCCAATTAGGTGCGCGCGCGCTGAGTACACAGTTGTTGGAAAGTTTTTTCCCCTAGCAGCACCCGTCAGGTCGGCTGTTGAGCCTCCTGGAGTGATGCCTCCATAGTGCTCTACATATGACCTGCCAACCCGGCACCTCCTCAGTTCCTTCTTGACGGCTACTCTAACAGAGGGGAAGGTGAGTGTTTTGGGATGGATATGAGCAACACATCTCGGAGAACAACAGTTCTGAGAAGGTAACCGTTCTCTCTTCTTCAAGTGCTTGCTCATATCGATTCCAATTAGGTGACTCCCAAGCCTTACCTAGGCAGTGGGGTCAGAGTTATGGAATTGCTGATTGGAACACTACCCTGCCGAATGCTGCATCATCTCTAGCATGCTGGACGATGACATAATGAGAGGTGAACGTATGCACCGAGGACCAAGTCGCTACCCTGCAGATTTCTTGGATTTGGACTTGGGCCAGGAATACTGCCGATGAGGCCTGTGCTCTTGTAGTGTGTGCCGTAAGTGCTGGAGCTGGGATTTTGGCTAACTCATAGTACGTGCAGATGCCACCGCTACAAACAACTGGTTCGACTTTCTGAATGGCTTAGTGGAAGACCATGTAAGGGGGTCAGAGGTGAGGGCATTCAACTCAGACACCCTTTGTGCTAAGGTAATGGCGATCAGAAAAGCTACCTTGTACGATAGATAGAGGAGGAAGCAAGTCGTCACCAGTTCAAACGGGGGCCCCATTAGATGGGAGAAGACCAAGTCCCATGCAGGAACTGGCCATCTAATCTGGGGATGGAGGCGTTCCAGGCCCTTGAGAAAATGTCCCACCATGGAGTTGGCAAATATGGAGTCTCCAGATACTCCTGGGTGGAAGGCCGAAATAGCAGCGAGGTGTACCTTAATGGAAGACGCTGCCAGGCCTTGTTGTTTTAGGTGTAGGAGGTACTTTGGGATGAGTGGTATAGGCACCTGGATTGGAGGTGTGTGATGCTGGGCACACCAGCAGGTGAACCTTTTCCACTTAGCTAGCTAAGTGGCCCTGGTGGATGATTTCCTGCTGCCAAGTAGGACCTCTGTTACTGGTTCCGAGCACAGAAGTTCCATGGGGTTTAACCTTGAAGCTTCCAAGCTGTGAGATGGAGAGACCCGAGGTCTGGGTGGAGCAGGCGACTGTGGTCCTGAGTGATCAGGTTCGGGTCGAGTGGCAACGCAATTGGGGCGTCCACTGACAGTTCCAAGAGCATGATGCATCAGTGTTGTCAAGGCTAGGCCGGGGCCACCAGGATTACCTCCCCTCTTGTGCACCAGAGGGAAGGGGGAAAAGCCGTATGACAGGCAGCCTCCCCAGGATAGCAGAAACGCGTCCGTGACTGACCCCAGGCTGTGATTCTGGAAGGAGCAGAACATCGGGCACTTCCTGTTGCTGCGGGTGGAAAACAGGTTGACCTGGGGAAACCCCCACCTTTGGAAGATGGAGTATATGACATCCGGATGGACAGACCACTCGTGATTGCGGAACGATCTGCTGAGATGGTCTGCCAGGTCGTTCTGAGTCCCTGGGAGATAGGATGCTTCCAGGTGAATGGAGTGGGCTATGCAGAACTCTCAGAGCCTGAGGGCTTCTCGATACAGGGAGGAGGAATGGGTTCCACCCTGTTTGTTGATGTAAAACATGGCAGTGGTGCTGGTTCTTCCTCATTGCCATGCACTGGCCTTGCAGCCAGGCGCAAAAAGTTTGGCACGCTAGGCGTACCGCCCTGAGCTTCTTGATGTTGATATGAAGAGAGATTGTCCTGAGACCATAGGCCCTGCGTTTGTAGATCTCCCAAATGTGCACCCCAACCCAGAGCCGACACGTCCATTACCAGGAACAAGGAGGGCTGGGGGCTGTTGAAGGCGACTCCTTCGCACACCCTCCAAGGGTCGAGCCACCACTGGAGGGACTCGAGTATGTGCTCTGGTACCGTCACTACTAAGTCCAGCTTGTCGTGTCCCGGGCGATAGGCCGACGCAAGCCACACCTGCAGGGGCCTGAGCCTCAGCCTCGCACGCCGGACCACCTAAGTGCAGGCTGCCATGTGGCCGAGATGTAGGCTACCCCTTGCCGTAGTAGTCGGGAATCGCCTGAGGCCTTGAACGATGTTTGACATGGCTTGGAATCGTGTCTCTGGCAGAAGTGCTCGTCTGCACCGAGTCCAGCACTGCTCCGATGAACTCTATTCTCTGGGTCGGAGACAAGGTTGACTTGTTCACGTTGAGGAGGTCCAGTCTCTCGAAAGTGGATCTGACGAACCAGGCCTGAGATTCCACCTGCTCCCTGGTGCGCCCCCTGCGCAGCCAGTCGAGGTAGGGGTATACCTGCACCTGTCTCTTGAGAAGGAAGGCTGCTACGACTGACATGCAGTTGGTGAAAACTCAGGGGGCTGTTGACAGACTGAATGGGAGGACCATGAACTGATAGCGTTTGTGGTTGACAACAAACCTTAGAAATTGCCTATGCGCGGTGCGAATGGCTATGTGAAAGTACATGTCTTTCATGTTGAGAGCGGCATACCAGTCTCCTGGATCCACGGAAGGGGTAATTGTGCTCAGGGAGACCATATGGAACATCAACTTCACCATGAATTCGTTGAGTCCTCGCAGGTCTAGAATGGGTCAGAGACCCCCTTTGCCTTGGGGATTAGGACTCTGAGCAGTGCCGGGACTCCGAGTGGCACCTGTCCCTGGCGGCGCCAAGGGGCAGAGCACTGCAGGTTTTCTGCAGGACGGTGTCGCACGCTGTGGCATTGGGGGCTTGGTGCGAAGGGCCGGGGATTGCGGTGCCGTCATGTCTATGAGGTCTCTCGCGGCCTCAAATGTCTCTGGGGTGGAAGGCAGTTGTACCTCCTCCACCACTTGACACGGTGAGTCCAATTGCACCAGACTCAACGACCCCTCTTGCAGGACTGAAGTCGACGGTGCTGGCTCCAAAGTTTTCGGCACTGGGGGCTCCCTCCCTGGGACGCACCCCACTGGCCGGTTCCGAGGGGTTGGGTCACAAAGTCAGGGAACCACTCCTTCCTTGTTTCCGGTGCCACTTCTGACCCAGGTAATGGGACTAGTGCCAAGTTGTCTCTGACGGTTTCCGCACTGGAAAGCGGGAGTGCTGTGGGTCTCTTCAGGAGTCCTTCCACAGTGCCATCTCTGCCACTGACGGGGCACTATGCACCGATGCACTCAGTGCCGGGTCCTGCCGCGCCAATGCTAGTTGCAGTCTAAGTGCTGCCTCCACGAGGAGCTGCTTCAGTCTAAACTCCAGCTCCTTCTTCGTTCTTGGGCGAAACCCTTTGCAAATCCTGCACTTATCCGCCTGATGCATTTTCCCGAGATGCTTCAAGCAATCATCATGGGGGTCGCCCATTGGTATACGCTTGTTGCAGGACTTGAAGGGTTTGAACCCCTGGGACATAGGCATGCCCCAAGTTCCCAGCGAGAGCACGGGCGGGCTGAAGGAGAACCCCCCCACTCCCGACAGCGAACTATTAATACTACACTAATAACTAACTAAACTACGTAAGGAAAACAAACACTAAGTAAAACAGAGCTAGGGAAACGTGGAGAGCTGGCTGAGCAAGACGCCACAGTTCCAACGACCATCAGTGGCAGTAAGAAGGAACTGAGGAGGTGCCGGATTGGCAGGCTCTATATAGAGTGCTATGGAGGCGCCACTCCAGGGGACTCCACAGCCAACCTGATGGGTGCTGCTAGGGGAAAAAAACTTGCCGACGACTGTGCATGTGGCATGCGCACACCTAACTGGAATCGATATGAGCTATCATTCAAAGAAGAACTCGTTTTATCCTCTTCCTGAATAGGGCTCTATTCTTCTCATTCAGTTATGCATGTGCACAGTGGACCCATGGCCATTTCAAACTGCAGTGTTGTGACTGCAACTGCACGGCCTTTTAAGGTTGGGAAGCAATGGCCTTACAGCAGGCCAAGACTACAACAGCTTGCAAATCTTACACCGGAAAATTAAGATGATTCACAGCAGTAAGATATCAACTTCACATACAGCTTTAGTGCAGGTTTTAACCTGCACAATGTCTAATCTTGAGAGAAAAAAAAGATAGCAAGAGTATGTAAAGTATTTTAAACCCAAAAAAGGCGGCTTACCCTCTCTATAGCTTCTTTCTCCTGAGGTGTTACTTGAATGTAGTTCATCTGACCACTTCCAGCTTCTGCTACTCCTCCACTGCCGCCGCCGCCGCCACCACCTCCTCCTCCTTGGCCACCAGACTCTTGAACTGGCTCATTTAACATCTGAATAAAATGCTCCTGATGTTGGCTGATTTGCTGTGGTGCATGGGAGAACAAAAGGAAGCAATACACTGAAATAAAGCATGTTCAGTCCTGCCAACCGGCAACCAAAAGTTTCTAGTTGCAGTGAACTTTGTGGTCTAGAGAAATGTTACGGAAACCTGGTTACTTTTGAGAATAATGCTTGGCAGGTTCTGACTGAGAAGAGAAACCATTATGGTTACCAGAGTCAAGTTGCAGCTAACTCCGTACTCCCTTACAAACTCTGCATCCCGTATAAAGGAAATAAGCGGTCATGCATTCTGTGCAGGAACTAAGGCTGTTTCACCACTATTCTCACTGGCCAAAAAGACAGCTACTGAGGAAGCGTAGCTTGTCACAGATATTACTATAGGAATACCTACCTTCTATTTCTAACATTTGATCCTAATTCAGTTGAATCTCAATAGCTCCCCTTCTCTGAAAAAGCTTCTGACTTCTTCCTTCCAACCCCACTCACCATACTTATAATTTGAGATGGTACTTTTAAAGAAAAAAAAACTAGGAGAATTTGCAAGCATATCTTAAGGATTTAAGGACAGTGACTCAGCATATTAGGCTGCATTAGTAGGAGCATTGCCAGCAGATCGAGGGAAGTGATTATTCCCCTCTATTCGGCACTGGTGAGGCCACACCTGGAGTATTGCGTCCAGTTTTGGGCCCCCCACTACAGAAAGGATGGGGACAAATTGGAGACAGTCCGGCGGAGGGCAACGAAAATTATCAGGGGGCTGGGGCACGTGACTTACGAGGAGAGGCTGAGGGAACTGGGCTTGTTTAGTCTGCAGAAGAGAAGAGTGAGGGGGGATTTGATAGCTGCCTTCAACTACCTGAAGGGGGTTCTAAAGAGACGGGAGCTTGGCTGTTCTCAGGTGGCAGATGACAGAACAAGGAGCAATGGTCTCAAGTTGCAGTGGGGGCGGTCTGGGTTGAATATTAGGAAACACTATTTCACTAGGAGGGTGGTGAAGCACTGGAATGGGTTACCTAGGGAGATGGTGTAATCTCCATCCTTAGAGGTTTTTAAGACCCGGCTTGACAAAGCCCTGGCTGGGATGATTTAGTTGGTGTTGGTCCTGCTTTGAGCAGGGGGTTGGACTAGATGACCTCCTGAGGTCTCTTCCAACCCTAATCTTCTATGATTCTATGAACTTTTAGACAGTATCTAGTACTTCGGTTTGTAGCCAAATTGGGTGAGGTGGAGAAGGAAAGCCTCCATCCCAGTACTTTCCAATCATAAAATTGTTTCACACACCCCAAAAATAAGAGGGCACATTGCTAGTATTGATGCATTAAAGCACCCTTGCCTGATCTAGACACGTTATCCCATGGTGCTTAAGTCACCTGCAGTAGCTGGGGGTTTTCCCGTCCTATCTGCTGTAGCAATGCTGGCAGCAGATTAGGATTCTGCTGAATAATTTGTCTCATCTGCTGGAACTGAGGTTGATTTCGTAAAAATTCAAGTGGATGTCCTGCAATATAAAGAGTTATACATTTAAGAAAAAAGCAAGCAAGTTACTAGAGTGGCTTCTGTAAATGAGAACAACAATATATATTAGAAGGAAAAAACTGGATTCGCTGAAGTTTCAGAGTTGGAGGGTAATGTGAAATTCCTTTCAAGGTGACTCAAGTCTTTGAAGTGTACAATATTCATAATGGCCTTATTACGGACAGGCTCAGACGAAGGAGTGGCTTGGCAGCAGGACCTGTCCCATCCATAAAAGTGGCCCCTCTCTTAGGGAGGAGGTGGTTCAGTGAAACAGTAGCAAAGCTTGCCTCACCAATAACCACACTGCTCCTGTTCTGTGGCTTTACACAGAGAACTTCAGTTTAAGAAAATGTCAACCAACAAGAATTTAGAACATGACTTTAAAAAAATAAAAGCAGACTTTGGTCTCTAAGGCCTAAGGTGAGGCTGTGTTGGGGACTAACATTTCACACTGTTACAGTTTAAAAAGTAAAATGTAATACAAAGGGATAAAGCAAAATATACGAGTTCAAAGGATCTTGTGGCTTTACAAGAGGTGTTTCCAACCCCAATGAGATGGTGATTGGAGAGCTAATCTGAAGACCACTGCAGCTGACTTGCTGAGATCAAGTAAAAGCAGACAAATGTTCAGCCTCTTTGGGACCAGCATTTACTGGTACAAAGTCAGCTTTTAAGAGACTTCCCTCCTCCCCCGCTTCACAGATTGAACTGTTTCTACAAGTTACTTTCCAACCACCCATGAAAAGGATGAGAATATATCCCCTCAAATAAAGACTAACATCTAACCTTTTCATGAGAATGTAAGGGTACGTCTTCACTTACCGGAAGGTCCGGCGGTAAGCAATCGATGTTCTGGGATCGATCCCGGAAGTGCTCGCCGTCGACGCCGGTACTCCAGCTCGCCGAGAGGAGTACGCGGCATCGACGGGGGAGCCTTCCTGCCGCGTCTGGACCCGCGGTAAGTTCGGACTAAGGTACTTCGAATTCAGCTACGTTATTAACAAAAAGAAGAACAGGAGTACTTGTGGCACCTTAGAGACTAACACATTTATTAGAGCATAAGCTTTCGTGGACTACAGCCCACTGTATGCATCCGAAGAAGTGGGCTGTAGTCCACGAAAGCTT